ATAACAACAACAACTCATAGAAAGGACTTCTGGTGTGGCACTGTAGGATCAGCATTGGACTGTGAACCACAGGTCAGCAGTTCAAACCCACCAGTTGCTCCTCGGAAACCCTATACAGGGTCGCTATGAGTTGGAACCAACTCCAGAACACTTAACAACTCATAGAAATGGGCGGCTGAGGAAAGGGCCGGCATTGAGAAGCCTGAGGAACCTGAGGGGCTTGGAGCTAGGAGGTGTCTGTACTGAAAGTTGGTCACTAAGTCCACTGGTTGGACCAGTGCTGCCTGTGGCCTCTTCTTTTGACAGCTTGGCTGCAGGTGGCTGGGAACCACTGACCTCCACACAGCCCTGAACAGTGGAGTCTGGAATGGGGTTAGGGGAATCTGAAACCTAGGAGTAGAGTTGCCTGTCACCCTGTCTCCTTCCAGCTGGCCCTGGTGTGAAGCTCACTAATGGTGAGGATGGAGGGGGTATAGTACCTTTGCTATTTCCAGCTTAAATTCCCACCAGTGGCAGGCTGTCTCCCCCTCGCCTTTCACTTTTTTCCTATAGAAAATTCAAAGGATTTGTCCACTGAGTCTAAGGAATGGGTCCTTAAAAAGAGGAAAGCTTAAGAATTTGTAAGGAGTCCTGGTGTGGTGCTGTGGGCTAATGCATCAGACTGCAAAGTCATTTGAACTGCAAGGTCATTTTGGTTCAAGCTCACCAGCTGCTCCTTGGAAACTCTCAGGGTTGCTATGGGTCGGAATTGACTTGACGACACTTAACAACAAAAATCTGTAGAAGAATCAGAAGTTGGTTCTCTATGGTCATCTAGTATAGGCCCACACCCATAGCCTGTTCTAGGAGGCTCAGTGTGAATGGCCGGCTTGGTTGGTTGGTTATGTGCCGTGGAGTCGGTTCCAACTCATAGCGACCCTGTACAGGGTTTCCAAGGCTGTAAATCTTTACAGGAGCAGAAAGCCTCATCTTTCTCCCACAGAACAGCTGGTAGTTTCAAACTGAATGGCTGGGAGGAGATGATTAATGTTTTTCTCTCCGTATTCAAAACCCTTATCGTGAAACCTTCAGTCAAGGTATTCACCTTGTCCTCCATTTCCCCCAACACCAAGCCTGGTGTGTTAGTTTAGTATCTAACAAGAGCCGGCAGTAACTTGGGGCCGGGACCTAGTGCTAAGTGGTGGAGGAAGCAGAAGTTTGTGGCTCAATGGCTCACAGTGCCTCAAGAGGAACTGGGAGCCAGGTTGCCTGCTTGGTGCTCTGGGTCACAGTGCAGGGACTCGGGCTAGGCTGCTTTCCAGCCACTGTAGTGGGCAGAGGGATGGATTGGGTGACTGATGGTGTTCTGCTAAGAAGAGCCAGCACTTGTCAGTTTTATTTATTTTGTTGTTGAGCATATACACAGCAAAAGACACACCAATTCAACAGTTTCTACCTGGACAGCGCAGTGATCTGGATGAACTTTCTTCGAATTATACAAGCATTTTCACCCTCCTTTTCTGAGTTGCCCCTCCCTTATTGACACAGACTCACTGCCCCTTAAGGACTCTATCTAATCTTTTAAATTGCTGTTGTGAATTTCATCACACATAGATAGTTCTTAAAAGAGCATAATTCTCAAGGCTAACCTTTTATACTAACTAAGCTAAACTTAAGATGACTTCAGGAGATATTTTTAGTTTAAGGTTTAAAGATCATCTCAGGGCAAGAGTTTCAGGAGCTCATCTACCCTCCATGGCTCTAGAAAGTCTAGAGTCAGTGAGAATCTGAAATTCTCAAAGCAGACACTTTTAATAAGGGCCTGTGGGATCAGTAAAAGACAGAGATGGCTCCAGAATCTCTGGATGGTAATTTGGTGGATTCTACACTGGATGAGAGGAAACATCCAGGGATGCCAGCTCGACTGTCTTCTATGTCTTCTGTGAGGAGCCAGAGGAATCCTGGTGACGTTAGGTGTTGGGCTGCTAACCAAAACATCACTGTTCAAACCTACCAGCTGCTCCAAGAAAGAACAGTGTCTGGTCCCATAAAAACTCACAGTCATAGACACAGTGACACTGTGAGTCAGAGTCGATTTGAAGTCAATGGTTTTTATGTTTTGCTTTTTTTTTAAAGGTCTAACATATTTATTAGCCACCTTCTTTAAATGGGAAAGCATCAAAACAAAGGAAGAAACCAGAAATTTTGCAAGACGTGTTCAGTGGATCCAATCTTGGCAAAATTGAACTTGATCTGGTAGAGTGCTAGGACCTGGGTATATTACGTCATCACATGTGCGACTCCTTAGAGACCCAGCTTGGTTCTTCTCCAGTGTCTTCTCTTGGAGTTGTATCTGATTTTATTACCAGTTTTCATTCGAATCCATTGGGGAATGGGACAGTTCTGCCTTTGAGTCTTGCCTAGGTATCTCTTGATCCTGAAAGTCTTATGAGAAGACATAGTGAAGATGGAACATAGCAGCGCTCACATGATGGCAAAGAAAGGAAGAGAAAGGGCAGCCAATAGGTTTGTTTTTTATTCTGAGGAGCCTGGAAGCAGTGAAGAAGGATTTATTAGTGTGCTTCTTTACCTAGTCAGGAATCCTAAAACACGAACATGAATTTGTTGTAGTTTGTCTAGATCTCGTCTTCTGAGGCTTAAAACCACATTTTTAATTACCTAAGTAATACACAAAAACATTTTCTTTGGAAACAGTTCAGGCAAAACAAAAAGCTGAAATCTGCCTTTCCCTCCTCTGGCCTCTTACACAGGCTCTCACTCCCTCCACCACTGGTTCTCATTAACTTTATTACCATGCTGCCCAGGGGGAGCCCAGTGGAGGCAGAGGAAGTGACTAGGTGAGGGACCTGCAGAGTGAGGTGGGGTGGAGCTATTATAACCCAGAATGTGGAGCAGGTCTGGGCCCAAGGAGACAACCTGACCCATCTTTGCCATATAACCGAGGGCCTGGATGGGAGCCCACTGGGGCTGAAGGAAGAAAGGGGTGAGAGATTGTGTGTTGGGGGCAAGGGAAGTATTTATTCATGGAACAAAAAAGAGCAGAGGGAACAGAAAAGTTTGTCATTTATATTGCCTTTTCCCATGTTTTGGGAGTTGGCATGAGCTGAGTTCCCACTTTGATCTGCAATTCTATACTGAGTGGTACTGGGGCCCATGGGTCGTTGAGTGACCCATGAAGCATTTTCTGAGACAGATGTATGGCTTAGTCAGCCCATGCATGCTTAAGTTTCTATGAAACTGGTTGTCCTTTGAAGGTTGCCCTTCACAGCCATTTGGACCTGACCTCTCTATAGCAAAATAATTTGTTTGGGGATATCCTTCGAGAGCGTTTGGCCTTCTCCAGATGTTAGTAAGCAGGGGGTAAAAACTGGTGGAGTCAAGTTTAGAGAGGAACAGGAAGAACAGTGGAATTCTTTGATCCTGGGGTGCACTGCGAGCTGAAGGCTCGGATAATATCTCCCACACATCCTTTTTGTTTGTTTTTTTGAGAGGGAAATCTTTATTGTTTTATGTATAAAATGAGTCTATCAGGTGGAGGTCAAAGTGTTTGGGGCAGTTGTCTATAAAGGGACAGCAGGGTGGACCTTCCCAAACCCAGTAACTCTTTGACCTTTTCTTGTGCAGGCCTTGATCCCAGTGCCAGATGATCTACATATCCAGGGTGAACAGTGAGAGAGGTCAGAGGTGGAAGGCTTAGTCTAAGAGTAGAGGAGAGTCAGCAGAGATCATAGGAAGGCCAGAATCCAGGGCCAGGCCTGGTCAAAGTTGAGTTTATTGTCTGGAGGAGTTTCTCCTAGCCCTTCAATATAGGTGGAAGGCTTAGTCTAAGAGTAGAGGAGGGTCAGCAGAGATCATAGGAAGGCTAGAATCCAGGGCCAGGCCTGGTCAAAGTTGAGTTTATTGTCTGGAGGAGTTTCTCCTAGCCCTTCAATATAGGTGGAAGGCTTAGTCTAAGAGTAGAGCAGGGTCAGCAGAGATCATAGGAAGGCTAGAATCCAGGGCCAGGCCTGGTCAAAGTTGAGTTTATTGTTTGTAGGAGTTTCTTCTAGCCCTTCAATATGTACTAGGTCACTGACATGGTTGAAGTTGTTAAGAACATAGAGTGTCACATCTTGGGTTTCGTGGTGGTGTTTATTTGAGCCTTTGGTGGACCCTAATGTCATGGCCCCACATGCCTCCTCAGACTCTGCCATGCAAATGGGGGCCATGGAGAGTCTAACAACTACACCCCTCCAGCCTGCACGCCTCTTCTACACATCTTGCTAGACCTCATTCTTCTCTCGCACAGCCAGGGCATGAGACCAGATGCCCAGGAAGGGAGTATCTCTACATTCAGCAAAGGTTAGAGTCTCAAGTTCTGTATTCTGCTAGTAGAGACGTTTGAGTCTTGATGTTAATCCTGAATATAATAACTCCTTTGAGTCCCTAAAATTTAGTTTGTCTTTCTGCCACCTAATCTTGAGAGAGTGATCTAGGGAAAGCTAGTTGTGCATTTGAAGTCAGGGGAGATGGCAGAGTTTCCCTCATGACCAACTCTAACACCAAGTCACCATCATACTGCCTTAGGACCTGCCTCTGTTTCAACAGTCCCATGGGGTAAAGGAGTCATGGAGCCAGGAGGCTGTGCCCACCTAGAGCCCACACCCCTCCCCCAGGGTCTGCCTTCCCAAGGGCAGTTAGTAGTGCCAGTGCTGTTACCCTGGGTGGAGCATGTGTAGACGAGGCCCCTCCATGTGAACATGTGAACAACAGTGCCAAGGGTAAGAGGAGAAGGGGGCAGGCTGGGAGCCAGAGGCCCTGTCACATTTAGGTCCCTGGAGTCCAATCATAAACTTGAACCTGGCCTGCCAGGTTGATATGATGATATATTTGTCAAGATAGGAGACAGAACATTTTCTTGTTTAACAGTTGGTTACTTCAGGTGATAACTTAACTATTTAGAAGTGTATTTGGCAGTGGAAGGAGACACTGGGTCACTCCCTCTCCTTTATCCCCAACAGTCTGAGCACTTCAAGACGACATCACAGAAAGTGGCTCGAAAGTTCTGGTGGAAGAATGTGAAGATGATTGTCCTCATCTGTGTGATTGTCTTCATCCTCATCCTCTTCATTGTGCTCTTGGCCACTGGTGTCATCCCTACTTAGGGAGCCCCCTCCCACCCTGCCTCCTCTTCTGGGGCAGCCCTCCTTAGTGGGTGCCAAGAGGGGTCCTCTCTCCAGCCCTCCTCCACAGGGAATGCTGCGCGACCTGGTCCTCTAGCTCCTTTCCTCAGGACCCTCTGTTCCAGGGGCCACCTTGGTCTCCTGAAAGTAGAGATTGGGCCTGTGGCTGTGTTTCCTGGGTCCTTAGAATGGGCTGGAGTGACCCACAGGGCCTGGTATGTTGCTGGTAAACTGATGGTGGCTGGTGGTAAAGAAAAGCCTCTCAGTAGCCATGTATGTGTGTGTGTATTTGTGAGTTTGAAGTACTCTCTCCATTTTGCCTTTGACTCTTCTATTTCTTTTCTTCCTGAGGCTACTCCCTGCTTGAGACTCTCTCACTGGAGACCCAGGTTGTTTGGATGGGTGGAGAGCTTATGTTTGTAGGAGAAAGAAGGAGCCTCCTTGTATTTCTTTATTCCTTCTTGGTCCTAACCCATTATTCGCTGTCACAGGTCTCATAGCAGGAGCTCTCTGGGGTCTTGGTGTATGACAAAGTCCTGGAAGCATGTCATTGTGGCTCATAAGACTCTCGAGTGTTGTCCTTGGATCCAGCCATGTCCCTTTATTTGTCTTCTGTGGACAGTATGAGCCAAGCATGAAGCCTGCCTGAGCCGAGCATTTAGGAATGTGGCAGGGGGCTTCCTGTCTCTCCTGTCATTGGCCCTGTGACCCTCTTGGTTGGGGAAGGTAGAGAAACGGGACTGTGTTTCCTTTCCTTGTAGTTCTATAAGTTCTGGTTGCTGCCTGCCCTGCCCTTCTGGGACTTAGCTGGGCCTCTGGGTCTCAGCTGTCCTGATTGGGTAAGTGTCTCTCCTCATAATCCATGGCAGGGTACAGTCAGTATCACAGACGGGGCCTGTAGCACTTCTTCCAGGATGTGCACAATGGACCTCTGTGTCATTGGACCTTCTTTCCTCACCACGTTCCACTGTCCTTGTCACTCTTCCCAGGGCCCTGTTGGCTTTGATTTGTGGGGAGGAGTCTAGCTGTCTGTGTCCTATCCCATACTCCCTTGGGTTTTCCAGAATTGAAAACAACCTGTTTTAAGGAAAGAGTAGGAAAGGACCAGAGATGGAAGACAAGATTGGGACTAGCAGTGGTAAAGCAGTTTCTGGAGTTGTGTTCTGTAATCCCAGGAGAGAGGAAAGCACAGAACAGACTGGGGGCAGTCCTGGCCGTGACTGTGTCCATCTTTACTCTCTGCTCAGTCCAGCTCTGGAGCAGAGGACCAAGGACTAAAGTTAAACCTATGCCTTGGGACTAAAGGAGTCCTGGGTGCAGAGAGGGTGAAACCCTTTGGTATGGGGTTATGTTCACAATGTCATCCCTAAGCAAGGAAAGCAAGAGGAGCCCTCATCTAGTGGAACCTCTGAGACTGGCCCTTGGTCACCCTTCAGGTCTGGAATGGCTTTAGAAGAGAACATTTTAAGGTTTTCTTATTTTATTATTGTCTATGAATGACGCCAAGGAGCTCTGGTAGCATAATGGTTACGAATTGGGCTGCGAACCACAAGGTCAGCAGTTCGAAACTACCAGCTGCTTCACTGGAGAAAGATGAGGCTTTCTGCTCCCATAAAGATTTACAGCCCCGGAAACCTTGTACAGGGTCAATATGAGTCAGAACCGACTCCATGGCACATAACAACAACAACAACAACAATGAATGACTCCAGCCAGGTGGAGCTTAGTGCCTAGGCATCTTGGGTCTAGATTTAAATGCTCAGCTGCCAATTTTTCATGAGTACCTCAGCCAAATAGCCAGAGTTAGAAGGAAAGTAAATTTAAAAGTAGGTTTTGGGCCACTTCTCTCAGCTGACGCTCTCAGGAATTTACCCTTACTGACTGCCTTAATGGTCACCTGGTTGTGACCTCATATCCTGAGAGCCTCAGAGACAGTCTAAGCTTTCCAATTTGCACCAGTCCCCGGACACCCATAATGATGCGTTGCTGACCGCAGTAGTGGTTGGGAGGAGAGTTCTCTGTGCTCTATAAAAGGTTACCACATGGAGGGAGAACTTTGGGAAACTCATTATAGTACCATAGTGATGATTTCTCTCACCTGGGGCATCACTTTGTCTTGATTTTATTCCTGTTTAAGACTTAATAAAGAGTCTTTGTATGACACTGTAGGATAACCATTGGACTGTTAACCACAAGGTTCAAACCCACCAGTGACTCTTCAGAAACCCTGTTCAGGGTTGCTATTAGATGGAACCAACTCGATGGCACTTAACAACACTTAAAAACAACTATAACAAATAATAATAATGCCTATTATTATTATTATTTATGAAAAGATAGGGTCTCTTCCCTCTCCCTCCCCATACAATAGAGCTTAACTTACCCTGTGGCTCAGTTTTTCACTCTGTAATGGACAATGGGAGTCCTGATGTGGTGCTGTGGGTAATGCGTCAGACTGCAAAGTCCTTTGAACTTCAAGGTCGGTGGTTCAAGCTCACCAGCTGCTCCTTGGAAACCCTATACAGGGTCACTATGGGTCGGAATCAACTCAACGTCACTTAACAACAACAACAAATGGATAACGATGCTAATGAGATGTGCACAACTTGGAATGATCCCCGCTTTGAGATCAGGAGTCAGCATTTACCCAAAGATGATGTTCAGAAAGGTTAGGAAGGAGGGAAGGATCAAAACCGAAATGCAGGGAGGAAGTGGGAGAAGTGATGCATTGATGGGACCGTAGTCAGTAACCGCAGATGGAATGTGTATGAACTACTGAATGTAAAATTGATGACCTGCTCTGTAAATCTTCACCCACTTCACAAGAAAAAGTTTTTAAAAAAGAGGTGCCTTCATGAGGTGGAGTGGGGACAATTTCTTGGCAACCGAGAGTTGGGAGGACTGGGTGGTGCCATTCAGGAAGGCAGCAGACATTCCAGCCTTGCCTCAGCCTCTGATGGAGGAGCAAAATTATAACTGGGCAGGGCTGCATTCGTCATCTGTGGTGAGAAGTGAGCTCCTTCCTCACAGGGGGTTCATTGCTCTGAACTCAATTGGACTCATGGCAACCCCATGAGTAACAGTACAGAATTGCCCCATAGAGTTTTCTAGACTGTAATCTTTAAGGAAGCAAATCACTAGCTCTTTCTCCCTTGGAGCCGCTGGGTGGGTTCAAACCACCAACCTTTCAGTTAATAGCTGATCTGCACTTAGCTGGCAGTGAATTGACACAGCTGTGATTTAACTCAGCTTCTGACATGAGGGCCCAGGAACACTGCATTCCAGACTCTGAGGAATCTTGTGCTTTTAGCCCACCCAGGGACTTAGCTAGAAGGATTTTCCCAGCCAGAAATTTCTGTACTTGCATTCTGTTTTAAAATGAACTAAGCCTGGAAGGTGTTTATGTTGATTTTGGTCTCTAGAAATCAGAGTCAGGCGTTCAGAGATCTCCTTAAAGTGTTAAAAAAGAAAGAATGTCACTTTGAGGACTGGGGTGTGCTTGGCCCAAGCCATGGTATTTTCATTTGCCTCGTATGCATTAGAAAACTAGGCAATGAATAACAAAGACCAAAGAAGAATTGATGCCTTTCAATTGTGGTGTTGACAAGGAAGATTAAATATGCCTGGAACTGCTAGAAGAATGAACAAATCTAACTTGGGAGAAATATAGTCTGAATGGTCCTTAGAAGAAAGAATGACAAGACTCCATCTTACATACTTTGGACATGTTATTAGGAGAGGCCAGCCCCTGGAGAAAGGCTTGGTAGAGGGTCAGCACAGAAGAGGAAGATGACACAGTGGTTGCAATATGGACTCAAACCTAGCAATGATTGTGAAGATGGTGTAGGACTGCACAGTTTTTCATTCTGCTGTACATGTGGTCTATATGCATTGGAATCAACTTAACAGCACCTAGCAACGACTTTCAGAGCATGAAAATGAGATGGCTGCCCTCTTCAGAGCATGAAAATGAAATGGCTGCCCTTCTAAGTCATTAGAAAGTCTAAAGGGTGGCTGGATGCTTCTTTTCTCCTTTCTGACAAGTTAGAGGAGCTTTGTTGCCAGCGAGAGCCCTGTGACTTTAAGCCTAAACCCTGGCTGGAATGAACCTGGGAGGATGTTGCAGAACGTTGTCAACCCAGGACTTGCTTTGTGGGACTGAAAGGAAAACCTAGTAATTAGATACTGGTAGAAAGAAGCAAGCTTTACTGTGATTGGGCAAGTGGGGATCTAGTTGGGGCTCTGTCACCAAGACTAGTTCTCTGGTTACAGAGTGGGCAACTTATGTATATACAAATCAGGAAGTAAAGGAGGAAAATTATGAATATGAATAGATACTTGAGCAAAATGGTCATGAATATGTATTGTGGGTGGAGTCTGGAATTCTGGCAAGGAAACCATCTTTGGACCTCTGGCTTTTAAATGTGGTCTGAGTTGATCAGATGGCATCTTTCTGAGAGAGGTTTTTTTTTTCCTTGACTAAAGTTTCTGCATTCTGTGGTCAATTAAGGACCACAGATAACTTTACTACACATGTCTAGTGGCTCGCTGTTGTTGTTAAGTGCCATCGAGTCGGTTCCAACCCATAGCCACCCTGTACAGGGTTTCCGAGGCTGTAAATCTTTACGAGAGCAGAAAGCCTCATCTTTCTCCCGCGGAACAGCTGGTAGTTTCTAACTGCTGACCTTGCGGTTCGTAACCACTACACTACCAGTGGCTGGCTAGATCTGGTTAAAACAGAGACTTGTCTTTGTTGTAGAGTATGGGTACTTCCTTGAGAAAAACAGGTTAAATAAGTTAATTATAAACTACAAGCAAAGCATATTGTTTCAATATCCGGTTGCCACAGTTGTCAGAACAAAGGGGGATTGCCTGTTAAGTAAGTAATGGAATTTGTAAAATTCTAAATATTAAGCAAGCCTGTGGGGTCTCAAGGGCGCTCTCTTTCTGCAGGGACTTGCATTAGGGGTGGCTGCAGTGGC